CAGTCTAGTTTTCAGATTATCTAGACGTTTTCTAGCCACCTGGAAGTTATCGGGTAGGGCAAGTGCGTCATCCTTCCATGGGAGCGGCAGCTAATAGTGCCCACTTACCCGCACCACGCCAGTCTCTGCTATCAACGGTGCTCTTGGATCCTCTAAGGAGAGACTAGTGTTCGATGCTGAAGTATCTGCGAATTCCGAGTTGTTCAGTCGCTGCAAATGCTCCTGGATACCCTGACTGCACCCGTTTATACAATGACTGACGACCTTCTGCTTCGTCCCATTTTTCACCGGACCAAGAAGTATCCAACCGAGTAAGGTTTTCACAGTAAACGGCTGCTTTTTACTCCCCAGGCGCTGGTGAAAGACCCAGTGTGCTCCAGATACGTCACAACCAATAAGGATTCCTACCTCGTCTTCGCTCAGTTCGTCAAAGGCAACTTCCTTAATGTGAGGCCACTTGCGAGCCGCTTCTTTGATAGATGGGACAGCTTGCATAGGTAAGCTATCAACGACGAATGCCTTGTCAGTATCTATCGACTGACTTTCATTCATTGATGAGAGCCTGATGTCATTAGCTTCCGATGTGCATCCAATGGAACCCCCCAGTGTATCAATGGCCATGGACGTGGGTGGCAGTCTGATCCCATTTTTTACCAAAAGGTCCTGCTTTACTAGCGTTATCTCGGACCCAGCATCTAAAATGCATACGTTGTCACCTTTCCTGCAGGACTGTCAAGCATGACAGGAGTAACTCCTAAGCGTGCCGGAAGCCGACTACCTCGAGTTAAGGCACACAAAACCCCCGCCTCTGCGTACGTCAAAGCTTTGTTTCCGGGTTGTGATATATGTAACAAACTATGATGCCGTCCGCTAAAACCCGGCTGGCCGCATCGAACTACTGAGTTGCAATTCTTGGCCATGTGGGAGTCTCCTAAACAGACAAAGCAGGAATTATGCTCCCGTATGCATTTCCATCTGCCGGGAACTTTCATAGACAAAAAGAGATGGCAGCTAAAAATTGGGTGAGGCTGTGAACATAATGCGCAAGCACTTGGACGACCGTTTCTGTCTGGTCTGATGTTGGCTAGGAAAGAGGTATAACCATCCCGTCTAGAGGTTTGGTTGGTAGAAGTCGGCGTTACAGGGGACATCTTACGTCCCCCCTCCAGCCAGTTGCCCGAAACGACTCCTTGCAACGCGGGAGCGCGTGTTCACAAACTCCGTCAAGTCTGTGAACGTTGGGTCCCCGCCACTCGCAGACATCTTATCTGGCACCTCAAACCATTTGCACTGCAATGGCGAGGGAATAGAACGCACAATTCTCTCTACAACCGCTAGTGAGTGCAAGTCTGAGACGTAACACATTTGCGTCGGCGCAAATTCGTAACTGTTCATTTTTATACACAAGTCCGACAAAGACTTGGCTGCTCCAGTGGTTTGTCGTGCAAAACGAAACAGGCTTTCTAGTAGACAGCAAGTGATAATATGAGGCTGACCAAAGAGATTGCGAAGAATCTTCCTTGTTCTGGAGTATGCTACTTCCGGCGGGAGCATCATACATTCTTCAATGGCCGCCTCTGCGTCGACTCGACAGTAGTTGATCAGATAAAGGAGCCTCTGACTTGCATCCTGCACCTTGCTATCAATGTATAACTCAAATTGGCGGGTGAACCTCCGGTAATGACACGGACTAGCATCAAAGTATGATAGTTCCACCTTTGGTAGGTCCATAGTGGCTGACACTGGAGTGACGGAAATGGCCGGTTTTGACCCTGGGAGTGGCCCTCTGATATCATCAGCATATCTTAGTGGTCTCTCATCTGTCTGGCATTGTTTCACGTACCCCGCTAATTGTTCGTTTGAGGTCACTGGTTCCCAGACTTCATCTCGTGAGTCCCCTTCGGCCTCTAGCTCAATTTTGGCAACTCAGTTTTGCTATGTGCCTCTAAGGGAGCCCGCTGTAGCTCGACAGCCCGCTTAAACCGATACTCCTGGAGCTGAGCAATCCCTAAAGCTTTACTAGGCTACACTACTTTTACGAGTGGAAGCACAAAGTGACTTACAAGAAACGGGGCGCGAAGCAAACTGCATTGCAATTGTTTTCTTCGCAGCTTCCATCGTTTCCGTGTCCCTGGATCCGGTTTCCTTCACAATCGTTCCAAAAGTTGACATCTTTATTTCGAACAAGACGACGTAAGATGTCGA